AGCAGAGAGAGACCATCAGAGATTAATTCATGAAAATCACATGTAAAAAGAGAAAAATAGAAGAAGGTAAAGACACATGTGGTTATAAAACTTGTGATTGCCTTTTAAAGTACCTTTTCCCAGTTTATAAAAATTAACCATAAAGACAACTGTAAATGAGAATTTTACTGTCACTGTGTATTTGGAATAAGTGACAATGGACCAACAATTATTTATTAAGTAACTTCTGCATAAGGCATCATGCTGGGGACAATGGAAGTTACAGATAAGCTCAGAAACTCAAAGAGTTTGTAGTATTTTATGAAGATAATCCTAAACACTGTTTTTTTGTTTATTAAGTGACTGAAAAAAAAATACAACCATAAATATCAAAATTCAGAGAAAAAATCAACACTGTTCAATGAATAAGAAAAAAAAGGCTTTATTGAGCAGGATCTTGAAAGACAGGTCTAATTTGGACAGGTAGGGAGCAGAGAAACACACTGGCAGCAAGGAAAACAGAATGAAGTTTAAATGCATATCACACATTCAAAGGAACAAGTGTTAGGCCAAGGGAAACATGGGAATTTGGGACTAAGGAAAGATGAGTTTGGAAAGGGGACCAGATAGTGGAGAAGCAGGTTAAATAGTTTTAACTTTACCCACTAGAGGCAGTGAAGATTTTTTAGCATTTTTAAGGAACACTATAAATTCTTTAATAAGTTATATTAGTATTAAAGACAACATTTTCATTTTAACCTTTTAGTGCTAGGAAAAGCCTATTATTTCATATTCATCCCACTGTACAAATAGTACTATTCAGCTTTCACACCTCTTGAACTTCTGCCATTTGTAGTAGGTAAGGAGAAAACAAAATCTCCAAGAAAAAAAATCCCCTAAAAACTTCTGACTAATAATGAAACATCATTTTAATACACATATACACAAATCATGATTTTCAGCTCTAAGTGGAAAATAAAGTTTAAAACACTGGAAGGAATCTCAAATTTTGAAATCCAAATATCAAACATATCAAACATTTTATATCTTTAGTGCTAACATAAACTAGTACTGATTTTTGTCTATTTTTTACATAACATATCATTTCTTGGTTTAAGAAAATAACTTGTCCCTCAGAACCCTTCCCTTGGTAGAAAACTTGCTTTCCTTGATTTATACAAAAAATGCTATAATTGGCAGTACCCAAAGCAATCACCCTTTAAAAATAAAACCTCAAAAATCATGGTTTCCACTAGTAAAGCAACCACCTCTTTAAAATAAGAGTTTAATGTAGATATAGAAAGGCTTAGGGAAGATACTATAAAATAACATGATACAGAAAAATAAAAGGAAATGAAATATCAGCAAATACAGCTCAAGAAAGAAATGTAAGAGAAAAATAAAGATATAAAAGCACAAAGGAGAATAGACATTGCTGAAAATATACTAGGAGACATGGTGAGCAAAGGAAACAAATTAAATAGATATTAACAAACAATTTAAAAGGACTTCCAACATAAGTACAATCAGCATTCTCAAAGAAAAAGAAAGTTGACTCAAAAATGTTAATATTCAGTCCATCATATATTTTTATTCAAGGATAATAGTCCAGATAAACATTTCTAAACCTGAGAGAAACAAGGGAATACTGTTCTTATGATCCCCACTGCAGGATAACCTTCAGGTAAGCATAAACTATGGCACAAGGCCAGAAGGTGAGCTTGGAATCCATGTAACTGTAGAACTAACACTTAAACAAAAGAGATCATGATTGCAGAACAGATGTGAATGTTATGAACCCCCAAAACTTTTTTCAAGAAACCACATTGCTTTTATTTATGATATCAACAAAGTAAACATCACCAGAATAGTTAGGCAGTAATTCATAAACCTAACAAAAGCATCTCATTTAGCTCTTTAATGAATAGTAATGAATGATACGGTATTTTGGCATCAAGTTATAAAATGACATGACTCCTTGATGCCCCAGTCTGTCTTTTTGGATTGTTTGTTTTGGTTCTTTGGTGGATTTTATGGTTGTGGTTAGTTGGTTTGGTTTGTAAAATAAAAGCATAATGTGGGCAAGTATTTCTGAAAGACACTACTTTTGACCTTTAGAATTTCCTTGGGAAGAATATAATAATCAATGAATTGAACATTATGAAACTTGAGTTATTCAAACCTCAGATGACTCTTGCCTAATTAGAATTCCCCCTTCTTTAGGGCTCTTCTTACAGTGATCTTTAGATAACAGCTTACTCCTGGGTAACTCTGGACCTGGGTAATGAACTCCATTCACACTGGTCAATTAAGTCAAATGCTACTCAGCCATCTTAAAAAGTGAGTGTCTAACCTTAGGAATATTACATAATTTTGCATCACTAACAGCCTCAACATCTGATTTGCATGAAAATTGTACCACTGAACCTAAGAGATGTGTTGAAGTTAGAAATCTCTATTTCTTTGGCCTATTTTAATTTACACTTGGAAGAAATTTTTTTTCTCCATTTTTGGTTTCATAGTTTCATTTAATACTGATTATGCATCGTTTATTCTGGCTTAAGGATTGTGGTACTAAAAGTAGTAATACAAAGGAGAGCTTGAACAGGGTCCGTTCATTAATTAAAATACCTTGTTTGACTGTATATTGCAAGGTCTCCAAGAGGTTTTGATCACACAATCCTTGGCATATGAATATATTTATTTACAGGTCCTATGCACATGTGCTACTATATTTTGTATATTATAAAACAGAAATTCTAAAGAATTAAATATACAAGTATTTTACTTATTAATGGCAAGACTTTGCTGTCAGTAGAAAAAATTAATATTTAACAAGAACAATTTGATTTAATATATTTTATTATTTCTGAACCTCTCAGTTTAATCCTGTGTGATTGAGCAATTTGTCTTAACACTTGGTTTTAATGGCTACCAGAAATCCATCATAAAGTTACCTAGATCTAAATGGGAAAAGGGCATCATGGCACTAAGTCACTTACATTTTAATTCTATCCTTTCATTTAAAAAAAAGTCTAGGGCTAGGTTTTTTAGAATTATTATTTCGTTGTTATTGCTGACTGATATTCAGCTAGAAAATGTCCATCTCTCCTAATGTTAGTTGCTCTTAAAAGTTTATAAAGCTACTGAATTTTTGTATCTTTAAAAATTGGGTTCTAAACCACTAAAACATTTTTTTTTTTACCAGGTTAGGACATTTCATTTTCAACTTACTGAACATGCAGATGTGAAGGGTTTTAATAAGTGACACACATCATTTTTTTAAATTGAAGCACATTTCCAAACATCCATTTTCAAAAATGCTCTCTCTGTAGCAGAGGTTCTGAGAAAGTTATGTTCTCACTCACTGTTATAAAATGGCTTCTACATAGAAGGGTTATACTTAAGTGGAGTTTTCAAAAATCCACCTGGGGTATGATATAGCACCTACTGAAATCATTTAACACATAAAAGTCAACAAATGTGGGTGCTTGTCTTTCTGTAAAAGGAAAATGAAGTGATACTTCATTCTTTTGTTAAAAACAACCACCATGGTGTAGAAATACACTGACATGCAGATGTGAGGTGCCTTACTCATCTCAACACAAGGTGTATACAAAGATGTTACTACATTTTAAAGGTATTGCTGTTCAAGAATCATCTTCAGTAATACTGTCCTATGACACTTTACCTCTGGCTTTAACGCCTTTATTCTCTCCTTCAACAGCTTGCTCAAGACTTGCTTGTAAATGATGCAGTAAAAGAATTTCATATATGTCACTGTTAATGACAGTCAGGGCAAATCCTTATTTCAAATACCCTGCTTGATAATTTCTATTGAGCAGGGGTGGCTTCTGGTCAGATCTCTTGAATTTATTTTTATCCCAAATGGAAACACCTGCCAGATGTCCCCCAGCATCCATTCTCTCCTTCTTCCTCAGTATCAGAAACATAAAGGGCATATGACTGCCCAAAGGAAAGACTCCATTTCCAAATCCCTCCCTACCTCCTTACAACTATGCATGGCCTTGACACTAAGTTTTGGTCACTGGGATGTAGGTAGAAATACTGGAGAGCCTTACAGGGAGGGGCATATCTTCTGCTCCCTTTTCTCCTACCTAGCTGGAATTTGGATGTGATGGCTGAAATCCAAGCAACCATCTTGGAGCAAGAGGGAGAAGCTAGGTGTTGAGGCAGCCAGGTCAAGAAGGAAGGAATCTAGATCCTTCATGACTGTGTTGCTATCAAACTGGCCCCAGACCACCTGCATTTATGTGAGGGAGAAGTGCACTATCTTTTCATATAAGCTTTGTTATTTTAGGTTTTCTGGCTCTTGCTGCTGTACTGAACCCTGCTTTATACACCTGGTAACAGGACTGATGAAGAACTGGGGCTAAGAGTCAGAGAAGAGTGCTCTGCATCTTCTCACATCAGCACGTGCTCGCGCCATTCACATTACCTTCTACCTGTTGTTTCCTAACAGAAACTTCTTTTAAGTCACTTGCCCATTTTGTCAGGATTACTTTATAAAAATGACATAACCTTTAAATCTACTTTACTAGGTGTATGTGAAGCAACATGTATCAATAATTTCAAAAATCATTTGAAAGCAAATAAATAGAAAGCCACCATTAAGCAACACCAACTCTTCTCTCTGAACAACTCAAGAACCACGTGTAACCTCTCAGGAAATACAGCCCACTGCAGAACACCAGCATCCACGTTCAACGTTACTAAAGCTTTTGCTTTTTTGGTCAATCCATAAGGTATATGAAGAAGTTCTACTTTCTTCCTGCTCCTCTCTCACCCCCACCAACGAATGTTTATACACCTTTCTGGTGTGCAAGCACTCCACCATCAAGGGTATGGATGGACTACTAGCAAGCTATAAATTTCTCTCCCACACCACAATATGCTGAGATGAAAATGTTCATTAGCAAAAAATCTGCAGACTAAGTGTTCTGCATAAGACTGAAAACTTGAAAGGCAAATGAGTGTACCTAAAGGTTTTGGTGCCTTACCTGAATACCTCAAGGATAGTCCTTTCAGGTAACTTGGGAGCCACCTGCCTAAACGCTTTTTGGAAATCTTCCAAAGTTAAATATCCATGATCTATTTGAAAACAAAATATAAAACATTCACTTACTTCTATAAACCCTGTGAACTGTTATTTCAGCCGTAACATTTGTGTGAAAACTTTGGAGAAAAGCAGTAATTTATAGCTGATTTTACATAAAGGTAATCTGCGATTGTTTCATTGGAAAAATCTAAGAATCTAGTAACCCTGTCCTTCAGTAGTCACAGATGATCTCCAAGGTCACTTCCAGTCCTTTCATTTGTTGATTCTCTGAGTCCCAGAGAAAGGACTACAGAGACACACACTGAGATCACAGCATTAGGCTTCAAGTCTTTGTGCACTGCCAAAACAATTCCTTCATCAAAATGTACTTTTTTTGGGGGGCTTGGTTTTAGAATTATATTAATATTTAGAGAGAGCTGATAACAGCAGCCAGTACTGAACCTGAACTCCCTGAGTCTTTTTATCCCTGTGTGATCTGTGGGGCATAGGGACTGCAGCTACTCCTCCCAGCAACACCCAGTCTGGGAAATCAGTTCCTCCAGTCATGTGTCAGTCTAAGTAGTAGTCAAAGGAAAAGGCCACATGGTCTCCCTTCTGTAGGTGGTTCATGACCTTTTGCTGTTCCCATTACAATGTAAACAAATCATAAGTACAATCATGTAATTGTAAATATTATTTCATCCATGGTAAATGTCAAAAATTTAATATTGTGATAGAGAAAAAATTCTCACACCAATAGATAATGGCTAATGAACAAAGGAAAATCATATTCCAAGTATACTGATTGTTTTATTCACTGAGTATATGCTCCCATTCACAGTTCCCTAATAGCAATAGTTCATATCAAAACACTCTGAAGTTACTTACAGTGCCTGTCAAAAGCTGTAAAGATGTGTCTTATTTCATTCCAGTATAGTTGAGCTTCCTTCTTTTTCCTTATAATATGTAAAAACTCCTCAAGTAACAGACCTAAAAGTTGAAAAATACAATTTGCCAAAAATGAGTGCCTTCTTTTTTAAGGAAAAAAATAAAAAATAAAGGAAAGTGACATGTATCATAAACAAATTTTATCTTAATTTTGGTAAACAGTATTTATTCCTAAAATTAAGGCTGAAAGGACATTTCGCTAATTGTGAAGTAGACTGGATACTGGAAATCGATAACAAAAATGATAGACACTTTCAGAATTCACTAAGCTTTTCCAGGGGATAAAGGAATGGTGACCTCGAAAACATGTAACACTCTTCCCTCTAACAGATTTAACAGACAAGCCCAAAACCATTTATTAAGCAGGGTCTCATAATTTTTCTTTCCTTTGATTCCTTTTTTCTTAGCCAGATGTCATTATGGCAGGTTTTTTCCAACTGGGAGATTGGGGCGAAGAACTACCTTCTCAAAAGTCAGTACCAATTGCTCACTGGAGATAAAGGTGAACAGAATATTCCATAAACAATAGAGCTGGCACCGTCCCCAGCCTTGGGCACACCCCACGACTGTTCTGCAGCCTTGGGCTCAGCTTCCTGTGATTCTCATAATAAAAGAGCCCAGCATGATCATATGAGATTGGATACTGTGCTTACAATGTCTATTAAAATGAATTTTAATGTGATCTTTGTAGTAGATTTAAAGAGCGGAGCCAAGAATTTAAACACTTTTAGTGAACTGAACCTTAAATATATAAAAAGAGCAATTCATTTCTGTAATTCAGGATTTCCATTACATATGTATCACTAAAACAGCCCCAAGTCATACAATAACCACATGTGAATTTTGAAGAAACTGTACCCTTTTCCTTTTGGTGAGGAATATTGAGCTGTACACCCTCCCTAAAATAGTTCCAATGTTTTCAAAAAAATGTAAAGAATAGTTTTCTTAAGGGAACCCTTTGCACTGTTGATGGGAGTATAAAATGGTAGAGCCACTATGGAAAACACAGAGCAGTTCCTCAAAAATTAAGAACAGAATTACCATAGGATCAGGTAATTCTATGTCTGGGTATTTATCAAAAAGAAAACAAGAACACTAATTCAAAAAGACACATGCACCCTCATATTTGTTGCAGCATTTTTTACAATGGCCAAGATACAGAATGGAAACCACCTAAGTGTCCATCAATGGATGGATGAAGAAGATGTGTACACACACACACACACACACACACACACACACACTGTGGAATACTACTCTGCCACAAAAAAGAATGAAATCCTGCCATTTGCAGCAACATGGATGGACTTGAGGGTATTATGCTAAGTAAGTCAGAAAAGGACAAACACCATATGATTTCATTTATATGTGGAGTCTAAAAAATAACACAAACAAAACTCATACACAGAGAACAGACTGGTAGTTGCAGCAGGTAGGGAGCCAAAATGGGTAAAGAGTATCAAGAGGTATAAACTTCTAGTTATGAAAAAAATAAGTCATGGGAATGTAATATACAGCATAAGGAATATAGTCAAGGCTACTGTATTGCATAACTTAAAGTTGCTAAGAGAGATTTTAAAAATTATCCTATGCAAAACAATTATAATTTGTAGGGTGATGGATGATAATGAGATGTATTGTGACCATTCCACAATGCATATTATACACCTGAAATTACTGTTACATGTCAATTATACTTTAATAACAGTTTCCTTAATTTTCTGCATTTTTCTTATTTAGAAACTAAAAAGTCTGTCTATATTTATGTATTTAAATGATTCTTTTTTTATAACTCTTCAGGACTCACTGTGTGCTGGGCACTGTGTTAAGCTCTAGAAAAAGAGTGGATGCCTAGGGAGTTACTAGCTTGTGGGGTGGGAGACAGTAATTACACAGGTGCAATTGCAAACATACACATCATCACAACCTGTGGCATGTGCAATGAAGGGCTAACAGCAGGTGGTGTAAGAGTCCTAGGGTCCTCCTGCAAAGTAGGTTGGTAAAGGAGAGATCTCCTACAGGAGGTAATATTTAGCTAAGACCTAAATGATGAAAAGACACCAACTGGCTAAAGGATGGGAATAAAAGCATTCCAGGCAGTGGAAACAGCATGTGTGAAAGCCATAGGATGGAAAGTGGGAGAAATGAGAAAAAAGCCATTCTGGCTGGAACAAGGTGAGTGAGAGTGATACCAGATGGGATGGTGAGGTGGGCAGGGGCCAGAAAGCAGAAGCCCTTGGGTGTTGTAGGAAATAATTTGGTTGTTATTTAAATTGCAATAAGAAGTCAAGAAAAGGTTTGAGTTGGGAAATGACATGATCACATTAGGATTCTAAAGATCTTTCTGGCTATTGACTTGAAAACAGACTGGAGAGAAAGCAAAATGTGAAAAGGGAGACCTGCAGAAGCACACTGGCAAGGGTTGCGGTTGCTAGGGTGCTGGATAGGGTGGAAGGTTTCCAGACGTATTTTGGGATAGATGAAGGGTTAATGTGGTGGGTGAGAAAGGAGGAGATGTCAAGAATAACCCCTAGGTTCTGGCTTGAGGAGTCACTTAAAGAGATGAGAAAGGCTAGGGGAAGAGCAGGACTTGAGGGTGAGATGGGAAGCTGAAATCTGGATGTATTAGCTGTTCAATGCTTTGGAGACAACCAAGAGCAAAAGTCAAAACAGCAGCTGGACATACTCTAGGCAACAGGGCATATCTCTGAGCACCTACCAGAGTGCTTGGCACGTGTTCAGTAAACATGTATGGTGTGGGATTAGCATACATAGTGCTTCCCCCATGGCAGTTAAGGCTGTGTAGTGATACAGCTCCATTACTATCTAATCACCCTTGTGACCAGAGGACATATTTAAAATTGCTCTCCAAGGTTCAAACTGAAGTCTAGTCATGCCATGATCCCACAGGATCAAATCCATAACTTAGTTTCATGAATACCAAAAGCTAATCAATTAAATAATACATAGATTAGTTGAAATCTTGAATACTGTATCACTGATCCTGGCATATCCTACAAGGCCCTTCAGAATCTTGCCCTTTCCAGCCTCCCTCGCAGACTTCCTGATGCCTTCCCAAGACAGTAGGTCCCCACACTCAGCGCCTGTCAGACCCGCTTCCTCCTTTTGCCCCTGGTGAATTTTTACATCTCATTCCAGATGCAGCTAGGGAGTTACCTCTGAGGCTCCCCTGATTTTTCCCAGCTGAGTCCCTTTCCTGAGACCCAACGGCCCTCTCACAGAATCTAATGGTCCTATGGTAATTATCTGGCCATGTCTGCCTGAGACACGCTGTAGGAAAGCACTGTATATTGTTCAAAGTTTTATCCCCAATGTTTAGCATGATACCTCGCAGGTTGTAAGGATTTGTTACATATTTTGAATAAGCAAATAAAATAGGAAGATGTTCTTTCTTGTGTCCAGCAAAAAGCATTAAAATGTGCTTTGAATGATCTTGTAGCTCTGTAAACTAACGCCAAAAAGTAGGGTACTTTTTTAGTCACACAGCCAGAAAAATAAATCATCATTTTGGAAACCCTGTATAATAAACAAAATTAATTCAGAAGGAAAGGAAATATATGAATATTTGCTCTTATCATTGTATCTGATTTAGGGAAATGATAAGAAAAAAGCACAATTCCATGGTTTAATGTGCGATTCAAAAAAAAAGGTACGGGTAGTAATATCTTTTAATTGCATATTGGGAAAACTCATTGGTATTTGGGGCTCTAAAGTAGTCAGGTCTTTATTTCATAGCCTTGTGGGATAAAAAGCAAATGTTCTTTGGTTTTTCCTAGGAGAAAGTGTGGATTTCAACTGTATGTTTATTACCACATAAAAACAGAAACAATCTTACTAACACAAAAAACTCTACATAAGTAATCAAGTTCTTTCACACTATTTCCCCACAGAATCATATACCTTATTTTTTAAGGCCGATACTCTATAAGGGTCAGCAAGTAGTATTAAACCATGTAACACAGCCCCATCACCCCCCAAACCCCTGCCTTTGTCTCAATCTCTCCCTGGCAACACATATCCAAATGCAAGCCCATTTTCTGAAAAGGATAGAGAAGTTTTCATGCAGCTTGGCTCTTCCATCGTAATAGTACAATCGCTTTCCGAAGCCAAATGCATACTGGATTGTTGTTTCTAAAGCTCTAAAATGCAAACACGTTATTTAAGTTTTATACATCTTCCTGCTCTTTAAATGGTCTAGAAATAGGGTTTTTACTACGAGCTCCACCTGCTGTCACAATATTCAAACCTAAAATTACCACTTCACAAAGACCTGCAATAATTCTACTGCTATCAGATTTCATTCCCAGTGAGACATGCATTACCAGTGTCCACTCCTGGGGCGAAAGAACATGTTCAGAACATTCTAACTTCAAATATAACGTTGGGTCTTCTATGTATGCTGTTCCACTAATAATGGTTACCTAAACACACTTTACTATAGTTGTATGTGAGGATCACAACATCAGCAACTGCCTGGACTCATGTGCTTATGTGGATTTGTTATTAATCTGTCTACAGAAGAATGTTCAGAAATCAACTGGGTATTTGGATTCTGTCAGTCAGTCGATATAGCACATATAAAATACAAACAAAATGCACAGGGAAAGGAAACACATGCATATTTATATGTATTTGCAGCCTTTTTTTTTGTTTCCAGGAAAGTTTGATGTGCAGAAACTTAGGCAGAGCATTCGCTTTACAAAAAGGTAGCCTCCCCACAATTCCCTGCCCAGGAGTGCCCCTAGAAGTACCCTTGCAGAACCGAGGATTGAGGATCATGTCTTAGAGACCACTGGGCCCGATCATCTTTGCAAATCCTTCCAGACTGCATGTCTGTGCATTTTCCACACCATTGGAAACATTTCCTTCTGTTTTATAAACAACTCCTTTCCATGTTCTACAATGCATATACATATTTTTCCAAATTACTTAATACATGTGTATAGATACATCACATAGAAAGACAGGCTAGGAATGTTACTATGATTTTGCTTTTTTTTAAGCAGTTTCCTACGAGGGTA